ATGAATACCGGCCTTAGAAATTCCAGTCTCAATTAATTAAAATTTCGGTTAAACTTTGAAATTAAATAGGAGCCTAGTAAGGTCAAAATTTAAACAAACTTTTCTCTAGGTGTAGACCGAGAATTACTTACAAGCAATTTACGATACTCGCTGAAGGCTAAAACCCATGCATATTTAAAGGATATCTTTTTTAAGACGCCAGTCTTATAGCGATCAGTCTACTAAAAATGTTTGCCGTCAGTCGAAAACTGGCTGTTGCGTCTGACTTTGATATTTTTTATTATTCAGTGTCACGACATAATCGAGGTCAAGTTCTTGAGAAGCGCGTGAACAAGAGGCGCACGAGGTAAATTTTTAAGATCTTCCATGACTTGGAGATGTCATGGTACTCGCTGGGAGCCTTGATTTTGTTGCGCAAATGAAGACGTCAGCTCACTTAACATAAATAAAGGCGCACAAGGGAGCGGTAAAAGACGAGAGAGCCGAATAGTCACGTACGCGAAACAGTCAGGTGATTCGACACACATCGTAAACTGTCGTTGGGCATACGTGTACGTATGTGCAACTTCGGCTCGCTCCAGGCGCGAGATATTATTGCCGGCGAATTTGCAAACGCGGCATAACATTATACTTTATGTCTGCCGACGTTGTAATACACTTTATGTCCTCATTCTCCGCGGGAACGGGCACGTATCGTTATCACGTAGCCCCTGCTCGTTTGCACGCCCAGCCGTGCGAGATCGCGCATGTGAGAGTCTGGTCCCGCGCGAGCACCGGCGCGGCGCGGCGTTTCCGCACGCGCGGATCCGCGTGCGTGCCGTTGCATGCACAGGATGCTGCAACGGGAAGTTGCTGCGAAAGTCAACACGTGTGTGTATGTGTGAAAGAGCATGTACGTACATACGCGCCGCGGAATCCCCAAGGCGCTGCATCCGAGGGTGCCACCCCCCCCCCACTCCCGCGGCATTATCGCCGCCTAAATCCCGTTTACACCGGCGGTTATCCGGCTAAAATCCGCTTAGGCGCTTAAGTCTACGACGTCGGTTGCAACCGGAAGTCCTGGGGATGGGCGGCCCGCGCTGCAAATGAGGACTCGGATTTTAAGAGCGCTTCTCCGTCTCGACGGCTTCGATAAAAGGCCGCGCCGAGACGCGCGATCGTTTCCGACGATTGTAGACTTTGCCGGGGAATTTCGTCGCGCGGGAGAAGCTGTCCGATGCACGCGCATATTTTCCTCGCTTCCGACACATTTCTGTATGTTACGTTTTCGCGGGAATAACAGTGAAACGCGTTTCCTCCAATTGTCAGAATCATACGCAGCGTGTAAGGAGGATTTGAGGAGTTAAACCCTCCTAGAAATATGTCGATACATAACAGACTCCGTGTACGAGGAGATTGATCGGTAATAGCTACGTCGCGTATTTTCCGCTATAGAATGGAAGAAATCTGAAATGGATAAAGATTAGAAGCGCACGATGAACGGATAGACGAGGGGCGAGAGCGAAAGATATTAGTCAACGGGGGCGATTTTTCTATTGCGGTTGTAAACTTGAAAGCGACCAGTCAGCGTAATAGTGTAATGGAACAGAGTTTGCCCGCGCTGACTCTTTGCAGAGTGGAAATTTCGTCTTTTACGCCACGTCTTATATTTCCCTCGAATCAAACGTTATTGTACGCATCTCAGAAGCCTGATAAGAACTTATCGACCGTAACATAGGATAGAATTGCATCTGGTAACCGTAACTTTGCGGAACTACAGAGCAGAAATTCAGAGCGGGAGAAAGACGCAGAAGCACCCAAGATCCTCGATATGGGCTGAAACACACATTTACAGTATCGTAAGCAATTTAATTTAAAATTTACAACTTTTATTCGGCGCCCTTCAACGCGAGGCACTCTCCATTGTTTGCCGTAGCGAGGATAGTTCGTAATTGAATTTCAGGCCGGAATTAAAGAGTCTGAGCAGGCAAACGTGACAAAAAGTGACTCGGTAGAATTCGTTAACTTATAAAAATTCGCTGTTCCAAAAATAGCGCCATTATGAGGCCGAGTGTTTTTTTCCCTCTCCGGACATTAATGGATTAACCGCGTCCTGCATCATCTCATATGAAAATTTTAGTTGAAGGAAGGTGCTGTTTATATCAATGCCATTAAAACTCGCGGAATAAGAGAAATTTCAGCAAAATAAAAGCACTCCCCTCTCTTTTCCCGCGAAGAGCGCCGAGCATTTTAACGCGTTAAAATTGTACCACAATGTAAGGAATAACAACGTGCGAACCCGAGTCGAGTATTTGGTCCCGGAACGGGCCTCGATTATTCTATTCCGTCTTCATTTGAGCCTCGGAGTCGGTTTGAAACTCCAATTTGAGGCCCAGATGAGAAAAAAATTTAGTTTAACCTCACTCTAACTCTCAAAGAGAGTGTAATAAAATATTTCAAACCTCTTTGAAACCTCTTGGGCCGAAGAGGATTTACCGAACCTCTGTTGATTACACTCGCATTGGCCTCTTTACTGCTAAAAGAGAAAGAGCAACCTTTTTCAGGCCTATCTGAGGTCGAAAGTTCAATATATTTTCTCCGATACAAAGACATTAGTTCGACCTGATTGTTCCCAATTTAAAAACTGTACGAGGCTAAACTGAGGCCAAAATATTCAACTCGGGGAACGACTGGTTTTTTCCTCCCGCAATAGCGTCGACGTTTCTAAATTTCGGTCTGCCTTTCGATTAGACGGTGTACAATGTAGAATTGTAATTACGTGTTGTATAATACGTGACTTCATCACCATGCTGCGCGGTCCAGCGCGGATCTGTCTGCAGCTGCGCGGGAATTAGCTCGTTTGGGGATGGCTGACGGAAGGATTGTAAACTGTGTACGTCGCGCGAACAACACCGCGTTTATTTAGGCAGTGGTCGAATTATGCAAATCAGGTGGCGCAAGCGAATCGTTCGAACGTATCCTCGACGCGAGATCCTCGATACCCCCCCCCCTCCCTCGCAGTAAATGTTTTCCGCGTTTGAGTGCGATTCATTGCGCCCAGATATTGCCGAACGCGTCAACCCGATACGACTGGACTGGATCCTCCCTCGTAGTGATCGACACCTGTCGCCTTCTCGATCGCTTGTTTACGAGCTCGCGAGACTTTTGTCTCGTCCACGTCGTTAATGTAGCGGAACGGAAAACATTGTGTGAAATGGGGCAAAAGAGCACCTACACGGCACATGCACACGTGCGTGCTCTTGCTCTCGTTTATTTAAATAAACGCTTGTAAACGGAAAAGATACGGAAAATGCTTTGGAAAGATATGTATGAAGTGTACACAGGCTACACTCTCTCTAGAGAGACCCACGTATCAATTTTTCATACACTGCGAAAGAAAAGTGTTTGAATCAAGATAATATTTCTTAATTCAACTTGTATTATATATGCTGCGGTCACGGGTTGTCAAACAAATATTTGTTAATTCACGTAAACATTTGTTAATTAACAAAATATACTTTTTAATAAATTGTAAACTGTATACAGGCTACACTCTCTCTCTAGAGAGACTTACGCATCACTCTTTCATACACTGGGAAAGAAAAGTGTTTGAATCAAGAAATCTTTTCTATATATGCGGTCACGGGTTGTCCAACAAATATTTGTTAATTCACGTAAACACTTGTTAATTCAAAAATATACTTTTTAATAAATGATGTATGTTCAATGGAAAAACATATATATTTGAATTAAAGAAACACTGCCGAACATATTTAGTATAATAATATCAAGAACTTTTTTCTCAGTGTACATTAAAAAGTGAAATGCCCTTCTGTCGATGATATCTGCGTGATAAAATTAAAAGATCATTCGCATTCACAAATTATAGAATATACCCTTGCTATACTTGTCACTTTCTGACGAGAGAGCATAGTTAACATCGATACACTAAATTACTTCTGAGGGTATAAGATTATGATGAGGCGGCAGTTTTAATATTCTTTAAGCCGACGTTGTAAATGAGAAAATTACAGCGGTCCTTGCCGAGGCGAGCCCATGAATTAATGGGAAGTGCTGCGCGCGCGAGAAGTCGTAATTAGACGTTCGCACGGAGCGGAGCGCGCGAGAGCGGCTGAGAGTCAGCTTGACTGAAAACCCCCGTGAAAGTGACGAGAACGGCGCCGCGCGGTTCTTTTTCACGCCTCTGCATCCAAGGACATTACTCCGGATCGCGAAGTGTAAAGTTCGATCGCGCCGCGCGCTCACCCTCCCGCGCCCTTACGCCTTTGTGCGAATATTGCCGTGTACTTCCCTCTTATTATGACGTGTATAGCGCGATAAAGGGGTTCCGCGACCGCTTAAGAGGCTCGAAAGCATTTGCGTCGCGGAACTGCTTTACCGGAATGCGAGGGAGATTTCTCGCGTTCGCGGATCGACGGAAATCGCTCGAGGGCTGTATTTAGCGAGAGCCCTTGCAATAAAAAAAAAAGGGAAACGGTCAGCCGTATCCTTTACTGAACTGCTTGGTTTGCTGAAAGAAGCAGCTGAGAGAAGTTAAAGGAAGGACTCGATGTCTAGAATGAAGAATGAATTAATTTCTTTAATCATAAGGCCCTTCCTCCCCGGCTGTCCCCCGAGAGCTCAGGAGTGTGTTGACCCTGCATTTAAATGACGAGGAGAATTTTCTCTTTCTGTAACCAGATCCTTCTCTATTCTACATGCGCAATTAAATCGCATTTAATTAAAAAGATTGCCGGATTTATTATTGTCATTTATCGTGCACGACTGCAATATTATCTCATTCATCTTGAAGAGTCTTGCATAAAAAACAATTAGGAGATATCGCTGTTCAGTTTCGTTGCCTCCGTAAACTTGCCGCATTATTCCCAAGTCTCTTCGAGATAAATCGCGCGCGCGGGATCCTCATCGCAATTCAACTTTCCGACAACTTAATTGCCCGGCTCGTATTCGCATTGCCGATCCCGTCACAGCCCCGTTTATGTCTCACGATTTCTCCACAGGTGACGGTAACGTCAGCTTCGAGGAATTCGTCGAGATCGTCAGCAACATGGGTGCGAGCACGGCGGCGCCGTCGGATCAGCATCAGGAGGAGCAGGAATTGCGAGACGCCTTTCGGGTGAGTGAAATAAACGCGATCCCCCGTCGTTCGTTTCATTTGAATCTACGAATCGCGTGGCCGGCGGCTGCTCCGCCTCCCTGCGATCGGGTCCACGCGACCGTCCGATAAATTCCTGCGCCCGCTTTACGTTATAGGCGAGGCGCCCGGATATCGAACGCAGCATATTTTCTCGCGATCCAGGCAATTTTCGGCCGGATTACCGCGGCCGTTCCCAGTCAACTTTCCCCCTCGCGCGAACGAAGCGGCGGGATTTGCTCCGGTGTTCTTAAACGCGCCGATGGAGCCGGGTTTCTTTAGCTAAACCGAGGCGACAGCTTACAAACTACCCCATCGCGACTCTTTAGAATATAATGCCGTTCATGAAACGCAAAAGTTTGTAATGACCGCGGCATGCGCTATGAATACCTGAGTGCCCTGTGCATACTTTATACATTATATACATTATATTAATAAGTTTTCCGCTGCGCGCGGGGTGTTACGCGGTTAAGTGGCTGGAGGCTTAATCCGTACCGACTGTCGAATGTATCCCTTAATCTTTACTTTCGCGGAGTTTCGGGATTCGGGGGATCCCTCGCCTCTCGCGCAAATGTCAGAACTGCCGGAGTCAGATATTCGCATAATCTTTCAAATTAGTTGCGGCCTGTCGATGGAACAGGTTGCCCGGCACGTTGCAAGTTCCTCAAACGAGATGTGCAGCCTCATAATTATATCTCGATCGTTTTGGAATCGTATAAATATATTTTTCTTGTTATCGCTTCTCTTACACAGAACAAAAATAAGTGTCGGATCAACTCTTGTATACTCAAATTAACGCGTTCATTGTCTTGTATACAGGGTGTCCCAGGAGGAAAGGTCAATATTCTGGGAGGTGATAGTATCGGTCGTTTTAAGCAAAAATGTTCATATGAGTATACAGGTATGTCCCATTCCCCACCGTTTCCGAGATAGAGCTACTTAAATGTCTCGTGTCTGCACTTTTTTCCCGTACACTTCACTCTTCATCCAATCGCATAAACGAAAATCCAATGGGGTTAGGTCTGGAGATCTTGGTGGTTTTTAATGTGTTTTACACGTAATATTTCGTGTAACCCAGCAAACTTTAACTTCTTTCTTAGAACTGTGAGACGATCAATTTTAATTTAATTAGTCATGTTTTGCACGTATTAATGTAAAGAATAAACTGTAAAACTTTGAAACAATTCTCACATAAATGATATTACGAAATAACTACCTTAAAGAAAATTAATCTTAAATAAAGAGCATATATTTTTCTCGATTGAATTATATAAAATTGCTTCATTCAAGTAAGTTTTTTGTCTTAACACTTAATACAATCTCGTTTCAAGATTTTCACGTTGAGACTGAACACATTTTCGAAAGAAGAATATTCTTTTTTTCCGTGTATACAGTTATACACTGCGATAACCGTGCCAGATGTAACGCAATCTTGTTATTTCGCGCATAAGTATAAATTGTATTTGAGGTGCTTGGGGTCGGCTGGCGAATAATAAATAAGTAACGGCTAAATAAATAAGCAAACAGATCTCTGATTTATACGAGAAATTTGATTCACCGGAATCATGGAATGGGGATCGGGAAACCTGAAACCTTGAGCCTCAATGGTTCCCGCGGTGAGTGCAATCCTCGATCTTTCTGTAATAAAATAAATTCCAATCCCGCGCTGCTCGCCCCTCATCGAAATTTCCGACACGTTTACCATGAATGTGAAAAATGTATAGAGCTCGACGACATCGACCCCGCGGGTGCGCGTATGTATAATACGATTATTTAAGGTGATACATGGGAGGCCACGAAATGTAGAATCAAGAGAGTCTTCGCTTCTTACCTCCGCGCAATTTCATAGATACAACGGGACGTACATCGCGAGTTAACGGTTCGATAAATGACTTGAGAAATTGCCTACATACTTTCGCAGCTTCAATCGAAATTTGCCCTACGAGAAATTTCGCTTATTACCAGCAAAAAATGTGCCGAGGCCGCAGAATTTTCCGACTTATTTCGCTTTTTTAAAATATCCGCTGTGCGTATCGTTCGGTCAAAATGCGGGCAAGAGAGATTAATGTCTCGGGATGGGAACAGAGGAATCCTTCTTTAGGTCGGGGAATTTATACGTGAAATATTCCCCGAAAAATTAGGCGATTGATAGATGTGACGTCCGCTTAATCGGGGATCTGGGCAATATTGGCGCGATATATGAGGACATATAATCGGAATTATACGATGATTTTATGGGTGCGAAACGCCAGGAGATAAAAGGATCACGAGGCATTTGCGTTTTCTTGCTTGTTGTCGGCGAAGATAGTCTTGTATGAATAATGCATCTGCGTCGTCTACGCGTGCCTTTATGTCAAACTGAGGATAAGCCAGGATCAGCACGAAATACTCCGTTTAATGCGACACGATTCCCCGGACTGTTGTCGCGCCTCCGTTCGCGCGTGGAATTAACGCAGTCGCCCTCGAAGCCGATCGCGTTTGGATACACGAAATCTCGCGACCTCCTTAAAAGAACCGGATAATTTATCCCCGAGCGTGCTCGCGGGAGGTGTAAGCGATCCTGCGGGAGAAATAGGCGCCTAAAGACGCGGGCGAGAATCGTCGGAAGTTCCGAAAACTTCCCGAATGAAGGTAATAAATCCGCGGGTGGCAAGAGTCCGCAGGTAGACTCGTAAGGAGACTCTGCGAAAACGGGTTCCCGCCTCGAGAGCGCGAGAGAGGGAGGTTACAGGGTGACCGGAAAACACGGAGTGTCCGACTTGGCCGGGTCGTACATTCTCTCCGTTTGGGGTGTCGGTCCTCTCGTACAAGTCCGCCGGTATTTGTTCGAGCTGTCCTGCAGATCCTACAGGTCGGTCAGCCAGTTCGGCTACCAGTCACAGCCAAGTCCCATTTCCCCGCGAGGGACACGCGACACTTGATTTTACGAATTCTCTCCCCCCTCCCCCTCTCCTTCCTCTCGCTCGCTCTCACTGACCTCCGAGACAAGTTTGTTTCGATGTTTCAACCGAGTTGGGGAATCGGGAAGACGACGAGCAGCGTCGTAAATTGTGTAACAAGCGCAAGCGAAATGCATGGAATCCTCGGCTTGCACAAAGAATCCTTCTTTTTTCACTTGGATACATCTGGAATTTTATGTTTCAATCTACGCGGGTATATCTTAAAGTGTTCTTCAGATTTTTCACTTGAATACATCCAAGATTTCACGTTTCATTTTACGTGAGTAGACTCCGAAGCGTTTCCGTGATATTTTCCAATTGAACCGGTAGCCCGGTTCCAATGTACCTCGAGACGTTTTCGACAGGACCCTCTTAACTCGGAGCGCGGCGACTGGCAGCGGGAGTTAGGGCGATAGAACAATCCGGTTCGTCTCCTCGAGCGGGACGATGATTATAACAATTCCATTAAAGTCACTAAATCTTAGGAGGCTTATTAAGATCGAGGAGCTGACAACGGGGTCTCGGGCGCTCGCTGATCCCGATTATTGCCCGTCGAAATTCTTGTCTCGCAAATGAAATGAGGATTCTATACGCTCCGCGGCGTCACGTTGAAGCGGAGAACGCGAGAGATTCACCTCGGATCCTCCCTCGGTCGTTACGTCCTTTCGCGTTCCTTTCCCGCGGCCGCGGTTCCCACCTACGCGCAAATAAGGGAGGTCTCCTCGGGGAGAGGGGGGGAGAAAGAGAAGAAAAGCTTTTGTCCCACTTCGCTCGTGATGCAATCATCGAGTAGATGAAGCCAATGCGATTACGTCGCTTTTTGGGTCCCGCCGCGATATCTCTCCGAATTTTATCTCGATTAAAGGGCTGCCGCCGCACCTGAACGCAACGTCGTTTTCGGAAATAAATGAGCTTCTCGTCAAGGTGCTCGGATACAGGTCGATTCACGGCGAATACCTGAGTGGCCGAGAGATTTAATTTCCACGGATGATACTTAATTGAAAAAGTCGGATCCTGATTAAATTTTACAGCAATCGCGATGATACGTTATCGAGAGAAGCGTAATTCGATTTATTACCCGATGAAGAGGTATTACGTTATAATTATTGCAAAGTAAATTTCTCCGAGTGAAATAAAAATTTACATTTCTCATTGAGCGAAACGCGCGGGGGGGGGGGGCAGTTTTTAAAGCCAGTTCGTCGGGATTTCGCGAGTCGTGCGGTCACGACGTTTAATGCTAAGCGAATTAGCTCAGGCTTATGTTGATTGACAATGAGAGGATCTCGCGCGCAGCGAGACCTATTCCGAAAATACACCGACAGATCGTTGTTGAACTACAGCGGCTTGAAACGAAACTCGAGCGGAGCCGAGACAAAGCGAAAGCGATCGGAATTACGTGTCTCCGCAAGCTCGCTGCGCAACATTTACTTCTGTTCGGTTAACTGATCATCCCCTGCTTGCCTAAGCCCGCGTTCCGACTTAAACATTCCGCTGTCAATTAGTCAGCTGTCAGTTCTCCAGATTGAGTTGCGACGAGGAAAGTGAATAGGTCAAACTCTGTTGACTCTAGCGAGTAAATATAGCGGTGGTCGGGGCGACTTAATTAATCCACTTTGGACTAATTTCGTCCATTCTAGTATTTGCCTTTAGCAGACGCGCTCCCAAGAGAGAGGAAGAGAGAGAGAGAAAGATAGAGGAACGAAACGAGCAAACCGCTTTCGACAAATCTCTCCTCGTTTCTTCAGACGCGGAACAACGCCGTGTAACGCCGCGTAACTTAATACGCGTGGGGTAAGAACGTGCCGCGTCAATTTCCCTCCCGTAGCTCGTCCTCCTTTTAACGCGCACTTCGTTCCGAGCTGCAATTCCGCCCTGCAGTTTCCTCCACGGATACATTCCCGAGCGCTCTCTCTTTCTCTCTCTTCTTCGGCGTCTGTAAAAAGTACCCGAGTGCGCCGAAAGTTGGCGTAAGAACGGCGGCCCTCCATTAACCCGCGCGCGGAACCGCCGGCTCTAAACATTCGCAACACGTCTCGCTCTCTT